TTTATAAACACGGGCAATTTGTAAACGGGGCTCGGCGATAAGACAGTCATTGTCTTCTTCTTGCTCCGGCCAATTTTTATAAATGTAATATGTCTATATTGTAAATATATGAAACGGCAAAAAAAAAAAAAAAAAAAAAAAAAAAAAAAAACACAAAAAAGCGCCCACGATTACCTCCTGATTGAAGGAAAACGCGCCCACAAAAACACCCTGATTGAGGGAAATTAATTTTTGAACAATTATTGCTTTACCTAAATAAATTTAAAATACAAAAATAGATTTTAAGTTTAAACTATGCGGAATTAAAAAAAACAACTGACTCTTCATTGTTAAAATTTTTTTAAGGTGGTACACCAAGAAATAAGTTAAAATCTGATTGGAACAAGAGCACACTTTCATTTTTACAATATAAATACATAATTTAAAATAATTTTCAAAAATGCTATCAAACTTGAAAATCTTTGCCTCGATAACCCCCTCCCGCCCAAAAAAAAAAAATTAAAAATTAAAAACAACCGAATTTTTGTGAAGTAATTACTCAAAATCTACTGGTCAATTTAGCATGAAATTTGAAACAGTTTTTATTCATGGTAACATAATTCATTTGAGAGAAAATAAATAAAACAAATAAATATTTTAGAAATTATGTATAAAAACAAAAAGTAAGCGAGTTAAACAACACTAAAATAACAAAATTTTAAGATCTAAAATGCATTGAAAAAAAAAATCTTTTCTCAAATGAATTTTAATTGTAAAAAAAACAATCTGTGAAAGTTTCATATTTATTTAAAAAGTTACTATTTCACAAACTATTTATTATATATTGGTTGCTATGGCGTTGTTATGGACATTACAAACTACTTGGTTGATAAATAAGCCCAAATTATTATTACTCAAAGTTAAAATTTTGCATTAAAAGTTTTTGTATTCTGTGAACAAAGAATTAATGAACCAAATTAAAATTTTTTTTTTTCAAAATTGACTTTTATTTCTTGGGGTACCACCATAATTTTGAGTTGGAATCACCTATTTTTGATATTAAGGAAAAATATATTTTCAGAATTAAATTTTAATTCAACAAAATTCTGTTAATTTGTACACTGTAACAGTTTAGAAGCAATTATTTCTATTTTAAAAGCCCAGAATTTATACAACAAGGAAACATATAAGAATTTAAACAACAAGGAAACATATAAGAATTTATACAACAAGGAAACATATAAGAATTTACACAAAAAGGAAACATATAAGAATTTATACAACAAGGAAACATATAAGAATTTATACAACAAAGAAACATATAAGAATTTATACAATAAGGAAACTTATAAGAATTTATACAATAAGGAAACATATAAGAATTTATACAACAAGGAAACATATAAGAATTTAAATAAAATTTTTAAATCATTGTATAAAAAATAATTTTCAAATTGCAACGCATAAGCAAAAAAGTTGCATTAGAAAAACTTAAAAAAATCTATAAAAATATATCAAATCAATAAATGTATCATAGCAACAAATCTAAAAAACCTTTACAGCATGATTGGTATTAAATATGGGTGGAATAAATAAGAGACTTGTTTTAGAAGCTCAGATGTTCCTTAAGTTGAAGACGAAGATAAATTACATACCTATTTCATAGAGCATTTCATCTATCAATAGGATTATTTTCTTTATAATTTCAACAAATTAATAAATTTCATACACAATTTTATTTTTATTAAAAGATTTGCTACATTATCATAATGAAATTAATTTACTATATACGACATTTGCGAGACTGCTTTTGAGTTCGCTATACCTGCATGGAAGCCTTTTTTAGAACAAGATATTGATGAGTTAGAAAAAGTGCAAAGAAAAGGAACGAAGTTAGTACCACAAACAAAAGATTTTATATGAAAAAAGGCTATAAGCAATGGGTCAAAAAAACCTTGGAGAAAAAAAAAAGCGAGAAGAGATTCTTATACAACAATACAGATTTAAGAAAAATATAAAATAAATAAGTTGGTACAAAAATCCACAATCAACATCACTCATGACTCGTTCAGGCCCGGCTTCATCGGTACGGGGCAACAAATACAGGTTAGAAAAAGAATATGCACCATCATGTTTGCCGAGGTAAAGTTACTCGGTGCTTGCATCGTTTTTCACAATTTATTTTATTTTTAATGATTTTATTATATCTAGAAAAATTGTAATCGATACAGAAATTCATATTACTGTTGCTATCAAATGTTCTCTTTTACAAGAAAATTTAGATAAAACATAACCATTTATTTCACAACGCTAGTCGACTTTGTCTAAAACCTCCTTTCCTGTAATTATTCTTGGATAAACATATAACGGTTTTACTTGCTGCATGAAAAAATCATTTTTCTATCATCGGACATGGCGGTTTAAAGTGTTTGAGATTAGCTGAACAGTGTCAACCATTCTATCGGAAAGAAAAAAGAAAAAGAGGAAAAGAAAAAAGAAAAGGAGGAAATAAAAAAAGAAAAAAAAAAACTTCAGATTAAAGAGGTAAAAGTTAAAAAAAAACAAAAAGAAATGAAAATTTAATTTTAAGTGAGAAGTTTTCCTTTTAGTGTTTAACTGATGATTATTTATTATAAAGAAAAGTTTGATAAAATTTAACATCAAAAGAAAAACATTATTTAACAAATGACTGACTGTGTTACATACAATGCTTAGCCAATCTGACTGACTGTGTTACATACAATGCTTAGCCAATTCGGGATTTAAATCTAGATTTTTTTGAATTTATCAGATTAACTAAATGATTGTATCTATCTGATTACATCTATTTTAAAATAATTTATGTAAAAGTTACCAAGTTTTAACAAAATTCATCTATTTGTTTTTTACATACAAAAATTGTAAATCTTTCTTAATAATAATATAGTGTACTGGGTGACCGAGCAACAGCGTAACGCAAAAAATATAAAAATTTGAAAATTCACAAAAAATTTATTTCAATTTATAACTGACTAGAATTTTGACAAGATGTTTTTTCATGACTAAGGTACTAACGTAAAAATAATAAAATGTGCTAACGTAAAAATTTACATAAGCACATTTTATTATTTTTAAGTTAGTACACTATATTATTATCAAGAAAGATTTACAATTTTTATATGTAAAAAACAAATAGACGAATTTTGTTAAAATATATAATATACTTAAAAACTAATATACGGTCCATAGGCTTATTTGTAAAAATAAGTCTATGGACCGTATATTAGTATTTAAGTATATTATATAACTTAAAGGTAAGCCTATGGAACTGGATATTTAACCGTATGTATATTACATTTAGTAAAGTTCTATATTTTGATATAGAACTTTATTAAATGTATATTTTATAGTGATTTATTTTATTCCTAATTATTTACGCACAATCATTTTTATAATTATACCTATTTCAATATAAAATTTAATTTTCTCGCACAATAAAAACATCTATATACCTTATAAAATAAATAGAGACCTTATAAAATAAATAGAGACTATATACCTTATAAAATAAATAGAGAAAATAGAGAAAATATATAATCATTAAATATATCATAAATTAAATACTGTACAAACATCAGAAGTAAAACTCACAATAAAACATAACAAATCAAAATGTTGCCTAACAACTGAAAATGTTTTAGAAAATTAAAAAAAAAAGGAAGGACATTTTTTGTAGAAAAAATATTTTTAAAGATTGTTTGAAAATAGAACAGGTAAATTGAGTTGAAAAAATAAAATTACACAGCACTATTTCATTACCATAGAAAAAATCGATAAAATTACACAGCACTATTTTATTTCCATAGAAAAAATCGATAAAATTACACAGCACTATTTCATTTCCATTGAAAAAATCGATAAAATTACACAGCACTATTTCATTTCCATAGAAAAAATCGATAAAATTGCACAGCACTATTTCATTTCCATAGAAAAAATCGATAAAATTACACAGCGCTATTTCATTTCCATAGAAAAAATCGATAAAATTACACAGCACTATTTCATTTCCATAGAAAAAATCGATAAAATTACACAGCACTATTTCATTACCATAGAAAAAATCGATAAAATTACACAGCACTATTTCATTACCATAGAAAAAATCGATAAAATTACACAGTACTATTTCATTAACATAGAAAAAATCGATAAAGTATGCAAAATATGTTATTATTTTTGAAAATAGATTTTTCTAGAATGCTACTTTGATTATATTTACTTTAGATTTTAGTTTTATAAAGGTTTGCAAAAATATCGGGGGACATAAGTTTTTAATGTTTGCAGATAAAGCACAAAACATTAAATACATTTAGTTGCTGAATATTTAAAGCTGTCATTGCTTTAAAAAGTAGTTCAAATTTCGAAAAACAATTTTTAAAATTTATTATGCGAGCTGCGAGTTTCTGATGCTGATAAAGAGATTTCAGTTTAACTTTATTTGTATTTTCCCATACAACATTTGCATAACTTTTATGACAATGAGTAAATGAGTAGTATAATAGGGTTAGTTAGTTTTTGTTTAAAATACCTCTAGATCTGTATAGAATTTCAAAGCTTTTTGCAACTTTATTAAAAATACTATTGATGGCAGGTCTCTAAGAGAGATTTTCTTCAACAAAAACTCCTAATAATTTTGTCATTTTTTCTCTTTTTAGGATGGTATTGTCGATAAAAAGATCAGGCAATTTACATCGTTATTTATAGTTGGATAGAAAAGTATTCATTTTGTTTTATCAATTTTTAAAGACAGCCAGTTTTTTTTTAAACCAAAATGATATTTTTTTCAAATTCTCGATTCTTCAAAAGCATATTCATATTTTTATGTGGCTGAAAAAAGTTTTGTAAAAACCTTTGTAAAGATCATTTATATATCTGCAAATCTGATAAAAACTGATAAAGAAAAAGCAAAAAATAAAACAATTTCAATGTCAGCAATATTTTATTAATTTAATTTTTACTTTAAAAATAATTTTGTTAGATTTATAGTTTTAAATTTTTATTTATTTACATAGTTCATTTAATTTTTTTTTTTGCTGTCACTCAAATTCCACATTCATACAACGTCGCATTCATTGTACCACACACATTCCTACAACGTCACATTACTTGCGGTCCTATAACTTATAAGAATTCCGTTTTTAATCTGGTTTTTCTATATTTCTATTTAATCCTTTATCGTAGTTCAAAAACCAGCTGGAGTTCCACCTTTACGAAAGTCAGATTCGGCAAACAATGCTTCTTGATCTTGATTATTTTGCAAACAAATTTTACCTAATAATGTATTTTCAATATTTCCTTTTTTACAAATAGATTTCCATTGACTGTCTACTCGTGCAATGGCTTGAACAACTGCATGACTTTCATCAGTTACGCGTACCTAAAAATGTTAAAAATGGTACCTAAAAATGTTTATATAATCTAAACAACGTTGTAGTTTACATTATTGTATTACTATTACTTGGTTATATTTGAATTTAATAAAAAAAGAAACTAAAAAAATACAACTCCTTGACTATAGTGGCCTTCATGACCTTGGGGAGGCGAAATAACTTAAAAAAAAAAAAATTAGAAAAATACGTTATGTCCTCTCTTCTTTAATTCCTCTAATACTTTTTCTGGCATTCTTGGTTCTACGTACACAACACTTGGTACAAGTTGGGAGTGAACCCTTGGTTGCTGAACTGCATCTCTCATGCTCATTCCAAACCAGAGGTGATTCATAATAACCTTATTGAGAAAGACGCAAAATAAACTTTAAAAAAATGAAATATTAAGTTTTAATAAATGCGGACCAATAGTGAACTTAAAAGTGTATTAAAGTAACCAATTTATCAACAAAAAAATACATTATCAAATCATAAAAGTAAAAACCAATAAATAACAAATATTAAACTTTAAATAAATGAAAAGTTGATAAAAATATTAAAATAAGTAAACTTTAAAGAACAATAACTTAAAAAAAAAATTATTAACAAAGTAAAATAACTACCTATTAAAACATTAAATCACAACACTTACTTGAGCAACTGCAGTTGTTATTATTGATCCTCCGGATCCTCCTGTTACTAATCTAACATTCTTATGACTATCCAATAAGATTACAGGGACTGAACTTGACATTGGACGTTTGTCTGGTTTTATAAAGTTTTCTTCTGATGGGGGTAACCCAAACTCGTTTGATATTCCAGGAGTACTAAAGTCGTCCATTTCGTTATTGTAAATAAAACCAAGTTTGCACGAACGAAACTTTGCTCCAAGACTTTAACGGTAAAAAAATTTATTTGAAAATAATTTTTAGTTTTACTCTAATTTTTTTTTTTTACTTAGTTTATACACATTAAAAAAAACAACTTAAATGTTAGAAAAAGTAAGTTTATGTGCTTGTCTGGTAGGTGATAGATAGTAAGATAGTAATACTAGATGATATAGTATGAGTAGATGAGATACCAGTACTAGGTGAGATAGTAGGTGAGATAGTAGGTAAGATAATAGTACTAGGTAATATAGTAGCAGTAGGTGAGATAACAGTACTAGATGAGAAAGTAGCAATAGATGAGATAGTAGCATACACCTCGCAACCACAGCCAAGAATAAGTGTTTTAGAACAAAGTTTTTTATTAAATGCAAAAAATACAATTAGAAAAAAAATTTCAAAAGATTTGCCAAAACTTTTATCTGTGCTTCTTAATAAGCTTAATTTATCGCCAGTCTCTTATCACCAGTCTCTAATCTCTTATCACTACTTTCTTATCTTTTATCAGGGATATCATTCTATGAAAACTAAAAAAAAAAAATGAAATACAAACTGAAAAAAAGCGCCGATAGCCAATTAATTTGCTCGCCTGACATTTAGTTGGACGGACAAACAAATTTAGTTTACTTGTATATAAGTTAAAAATAATTTAACTTAAATTTTATGTTAACTCAAGTTAATTTATAAATAACATTAAATGTTCATCTTTAATTTTTAGCTACTTTTAGAAAAACTTTAGATTAAAACTATATTAGACGTTCGTAAATCTTTACAAAATGTACTTTATTTAAATAAAATTTAAATAAATATAACACGTTTAAATAAAAATAACACGTTTAAATAAATATAACACGTTTAAATAAATATAACACGTTTAAATAAATATAGCACGTTTTTCGAAACAAAAAAATGTTTTTAAAGAATTATTAAAGTTTAAAATAGGAAAAAATTTAATAACAAGAAAAAAGAATGAAAAAAAGAAAAGTTAAGCAGTAAAATCTTTTTTTTTTTAATTGTGGTTATTAAAGTGCACGCAGTAGTTCTTATGGTCTTATCACAGAGCACCGCGGAAGAGACCTTACTTATCACAGAGCACCGCGGAAGAGACCTTACTTATCACAGTGCACCGCAGAAAAGACCTTACTTATCAGAGAGCACCGCGGAAGAGCATTTAACTAGGAAGTACAATCCTCCTTCCTTACCGATATCGTATATTAGGCTAGAACCGGCAAAGAATCTTGGATTTCTTGGTTCTAAACCAGAACTCTAACCGCTGTGCCACAATTGCAGTCCTCGAGAGTTTCTGAAAAACATTTTATTGTACAGAATAAAGATTAATAAGAAATGCGCAATAGAAATTATATTTTTATATTTTTATAAATGTTAGTTGATTCAATAGTTTGTTGAAAGTCGTAAAAAACTGTTGACAAATTCAGTTAAAAAATATTTAAATGCGTTTTTTTAGATTATTTTACTTTATTTTTATGTTTATTACTGCTATCCAGAGGACTTCATACTTTCACTTATTAAATAATATTGAAATGTATTTTGAGCTGAAAAACTAAACTTAAGTAGCCCTTTTAATTGAGGAGACTTCAGAATTTATATCGTTGTAATTTTTGAAATGTAAAAGAATGTTGTGTAAAATTTGAAGTTTATAAATGAATATAAAATTAATTGAGCATGGTTAAAAAAAAAAAGTTAGTCACTGCTTAGGTTAAATGTTTTACGAAATAAACAACATTTTGTTATCTCTCAAAATAAGGACGAAATTTTTTTTTTTTTTAAATCAATTTAACTCTTAAACTTACATCATTTTTTAAAAAGTTGTTAACTATGACAAATGTACGAGTAAAATAGTTTTCGAAAACTCCAAAATCATTAGGAATGTATAAATCATTAGAAATATATGAATTAATTGAATATGAGTATGATTATAGATGAACTAATTGAAAATAAGTTAATTTTAATAACATTATTTTAAATGATTATTTTGAATAGAAAAATATAAAGGTAATTATGAAAATACTATTATAGTCATAAATAGTTAAAAGTATATTAAAAACTTACTATCCGTTAACTGTACTCATTACAGTAACGGCGTCTCCGTTTGGTCCGACCACAACCAAATGAGTTGTTCCAGTTGTAACTTTCTGAAAATACTTTCCACCGTAGTGAGAAATATTATACGTACGACTGTCGTTTATTTGGTTACGTATTTTTTTAGCAAGACTTTCGTCTAGTAAGTTATGAACAATTTTCATTGTACTTTTTTCAACATCAGGATCGGCTAACTCAGTTCTCCTTGCATATGCAAATTTAAAAGCCTCTATCATTCTATGGTAAACGATTTCAGGTTGTTGTTTTTCAAACTCTTCGGTCATATTGTAACCTAGAACCAGCAATAAAATTTTTAATACTTTAAATACTGCCTTACTAGATATATAAACGACGCCAGGTATTTAAACAAGATCAGTTAACAAAACACCTATAGTTATCGAAACGACAAACTACCTTTAAGTATATTTAATATTAAAGCTAGTATTGGTCCACTTGCGGGAGGAGGAGCAGTAAGTAAACTGAAATTGCCGAGAGTGCTCTGTAATGGCGTTCGAATAATTGGTGTGTATCCATGTAAATCTTTCTCGGTTATTATACCACCCTTCTTTTTTACATCTTTTACAAATTGTTTTGCAAGTTTTCCTTTGTAAAACACATCAGCATTTCCATGTGCAGCAATTTTCTCTAATGTTTTAGCTAAAGCTACATTTTTAACCCGATCACCTTTTGAAAGAAGTTTTCCTTTGCGGACGAACAACTTTCTAAATTATATACTTTAAACTACATCAGTGGCTTCAAAGAAGAGAAATAGTTCTTAACAAAAAAATACACATAGTAAATAAATAAAGGTTCACATAACATTTAAATTTTTTGTATTTTACTATAAAAACTGCTGTTTTTAAATATTATACTAAAAACTCTTGTAAAAGTTAACGAGTAAAATAGTCAAAACAGTTTTAATATCATTAGTCATTACGTTAAGAAAAACTAAAAACGAGTGTGCCTAAGAAACAAACCAGTCATCTTAACAAAAACTAAAAGTGCGTGCGCCTAAGAAACAAACCAGTCATTAATCATTACGTTAAGAAAAATTAAAAACGCGTCCGCCTAAAGAAAAAAAAAAAAAAAAAAAAAAAAAAAAATGCGCCTATTAGTTTTTAAGATCCTGACTTTAAAGATCCACAACCATTACTGGTTGGACCAATTTAATGGTCATTTTTAACAACCTTGCTCCAACCTTCTTCAGACTTTTTTTCTCAATAAACTATTATGAGCTTGTAACGAGATCGACTTTTTAATTTATTTGTATTTTTTAGCTCATTTTCTAAATCATAGTATTTTATAGTTCACTTTAATTTTTTATTTTTTATTTTTTTATTTTTATTTTTTAATTTATTTTTTATTTTTAATTTATTTTAAATTTTATTTATTTTAAATTAATTTATTTTTTATTTTTATTTTTTAATTTTTTATTTTTTAGTTGAAAAATCTTAACTTAAACTTTAACGACTGTAAATATTTTTTTTACAGTTTAACTTTCTGATTTGTTGTGGTAAATATTTTTCTCCATCTTGCCAATGTTTATCTGTTTAGGGGCCATCCATATATGATGTCAGTAAATATAGGGGGAGGGGGTACTTAAAGGGAGGGTACTTAAAGGTTTGACAAGCATCGATAATAGGGAGGGGGTGTTAAGACCAAAATGATGTCAATTTAAGAAAAAAAAAATTCAACTTTATACGAGCAGATTTTAAAGGTATTTACATCTACAATCTATAGAAATTTATATTTCTATACCACACTCTAGATGCATATTTGCTTTGTTGGGACTTCGATGTTTCCTAGAGACATAAAATAAATTAAAAATTTACCAATGTTTTATTATTGTATTTCCAATTGAATGAAAATTTAAATGTTTACAAATATCAATGATTTGTATATAAATTTAACAATCATTATTCGATCCCTAGCGGATTATAAAATGTACTTCAAAGCAAACACATAAAGTCATTTGTCATTATTTTAAATACAATTGTCATTATTACCGAAGATCGCTTCAACAACTCATGGGAAGATGATGAGTGATTAAATTTATATTATAGATATATAATAAAAATTTGATTACGTTGATCATCATTTGATAAGGTATCAACTGTTCTTTAATATAACTGAGATCTAATACTATATAAATGTATAATTTAACCAGAAAAAAATCAATGGTTTTAAAACATATTTTTAATATTACTTAAAGAGGGAAGGGGGTACAAAAACTGACATTATATAGAAGGGGAGTTGGCCGAAAATTGACAGAGTTTGACAAAGAGGGGGGGGGAGGAGGTAAAAAATTGAGAAAAATCACTGACATCATTTATGGACAACCCCTTAACAGAAAAACTTACTAATATAATGGGTAGAAACCTCAAAATATAACAGATTCTGTCATATTTTGAGGTTTCTACGCATAATATTATGCGTAGAAACCTTACAATATGACAGAATTCGTTATAATTTGAGGTTTCTACAAAACAAACAAAAACTATTACTAATATATATTAGTAATACTTTTTTTTTGTTTTTTAAGCAACTGTTTCTTTAACGACGCTTTTTTATGTTCGTTCAGCTAATTCAAAATAATTTTTTTATGTTTGTAATTAATGTTTCATTATATTTTCTAATTATATTTATGTTGTTTAACTTATTTTCATAGAAATAACTGTCAAATTGAGCATAGGAGATGTCAAACATTTTGCTTTAAAGAGGTCTAATAAAAAAGATGAAATCACAGATGATTTTGTAGTTAGTGAAGTATCATATTTCATTGAGGCTTTTGTAACTTGGCAAACTTAGATAAAATTTTGAAAATTTAAGTAAATTTTTTAAAAGTTTTTTCCTTGTTTAAATATGAATTTTTCTCAATATTGCATTTAATTACGTCGTTTTATATATATATATATATATATATATATATATATATATATATATATATATATATATATATATAAAATAAAGATATAATAAAAATGTGTAAGTAGATAAAAAATAAAATTAAAAAAAATGTAAAAGTGTTCGACGAACCTTAGGCAAGGTTCGTCAAATACATCTTTTTTCCATTTATTTAATGCAATTTGTAGAGAATCAGTTATATGAAAACCTTCTTTTGCGAGTTTGATTGCTGGTTCAAAAAGATCTTTCCAAGGCAGTTTTCCAAATTTTTCGTGAGCTAGCTGCATACCCCGAAGCTCACCCGGTACGGCAACTGCTAATCCACCTAAAGATTAGATAACATGTAGATAAGTAAATAACTCATAGATAAGTAGAAAACACGTATATAAGTAGATAACATGTAGATAAGTAGATAATTTGTAGCTAAGTAGATAACACGTAGATAAGATTTAGATAAGTAGATAACGTGTAGTTAAGTACACAACTTAAAAAAATTATAGCAACCATTGTTACATTTTTTAAAATTATTGATTGAGTTTTAAAACATAAAAAGTAAGCATTTCAAATAAAAATTAAAAGTTATTAAAAAATCCTTTTATTTGTGAACTCAACATACATTAGCAAGCTTTGAATACTTAACAATTACAAAAAAGTCATTAAGTCAAGAACCGTGAGTTTAAATTTTCTAACTATACATGAAGTCCCTAAAGTTAAGTACTATACCTCTAATTCCATTGTTAGCGTCACCACCAAAAAGATTTTCATGAGCTTTACTTGGGGCAGTTTCTCTAAAGTCAATTACTGTTGCTTTCTTTAATTCTCTTATGTATACCATCATAAACCCTCCTCCACCTATTCCAGTACTATGGCTGTTAATAACTCCTAATTAAAAAAGAGGTTATTTGACAAGTATATATATATATATATATATATATATATATATATATATATATATATATATATATATATATATATATATATATATATATATATATAATAATTTCATTTTACGAGCTAGTGTAGGTAAGTAAAGTATTAACTTGCCTAAACAAAGTAATGCTGCAATAGCTGCGTCTACAGCAGAGCCACCTTTAACTAATATTTTTTTCCCGACCAAGCTACACTCTGTATTGTCTGTAGCTACAGCTGCTCTTTGGAAGATCTCGTCTTTTGTGTGTACATTTTGTGTAACCATTCTGTGTTGTGTAAAATTACGAAACAAAAATTTGAACTTTTTATAAGTAATATAAAATTATTTTAAATATTTAAAAACATACCCTCCCATGAGAATTCTTTTTACTGCTTGCCTTTTATGCAAGTGCACGTGTTGGTTGTTAATTTTATTGTGTCTGTATAATAGTGCCATCGAACCCAGCATAAGACAAATAACACAAACAATAATTGGTTGCAAAAGACGGGAATCTGGCATTTTAACGACTTATAGTGATGAAATTAAATAGTCTGAGATTAATAATGATTAAACCATAATAAAGCTTAACAAATTTTCATTTTTAAAATTAATTCAGAAATAGCATCATTTTAATGCTACTTATAATATTTAAATAATAAAAACTTTTAAAAAACTTTTTATAAAAAAAGGTTTTGATTTAACAAATGCGAAGTTTTAAAACTCTATTATTGAAATCATTCAGAACTTAACTTTCTGTTCATATGAATGCACACTAAAATGCAATTTTAGCAACATAAAAGGCAAGCATAGCAACGCAAAATGGCGTTAAAATTTTTACACATTAGCTTAATTTTATTATTTTCAATTGCAATTTTAATCACGGTTCTATCGGTCACACAATGAAAAGCCGCAAAGTTAAGATGGTTAGAGAAAAAAATTATTTGAAAAATGTTTTTTTTCAAAAATATTCAACACAGTTAAAGCTGAATTATCTTTTATCATTTATGCCAATTCGTATGTTTTTTAGCATAAAACTTCCCATAGAAAATTGGCAGTGAATAAGAACATACTACTTAAGATATCTAATATCTTGGTGTAGCTTCCCGGGCACTAAAGAAAAAAATGCATGTAACACATAAGCCAAAAGAAAAAGAAAACGTCAAAAAAAACTTTAATCAACCAAACAAAAATATACTTATTTAGCAAATTGAAAAAAAAAAAGTTAGAAAACGATCTTTTAAACGTGGTGGTAAGCCACGGATATTGAACTTAACCATGATTCTGCTTTGTAATTAGACTCTAAAAACTTCTTGGAGCACCTAAATTAAAATAAAAAACCCTTGAATAAAGAAAGCAGCTAGAATTACTCGTCAGCTTCATTAATAACTAATATTTCATATTAGTTATTAATTAGATATTTTCGCGTCACGGCAAGGAAAGAGACGTAAACTTCCTGGTTAAATGCACTTCCACAGTGCTCTGTGACAAGACCGTTAGGTCTTCTTAGGGCACCTAAATAACAATTAAAAGAAAAAAAAAATTAAATTTAGAACGTTTTTACTGAAATTTACGACATAAGAATGCCCCCTCTCCCCCAAGTAGAACAAAGTTATATTGGCATGGATTACAAAGGATGTTTAAAAGTCTTTTAAAACTAAACAAAATCTTTACATTAAATATTTATAGTTAAAAACTTGAGAGTCAAACCATTTGCAAACTATTTATTAATTTGAACGCCTAAAAAAAAAAAAAAAAAAAAAAGTTTATTACGCGGATTTATTTGTAAACAAATTCAAACGCACTCAGGGTAGAATTAGAGGTGTGCAGATATATAACATGTCGCAAAAAAAAACCCCGTTTTTTTCGCGACATGTTTTTGAAACACATGCCCTCGACCGAAAGAAATAAAACGTTTTATTCGATAAAAGCTTTTTGTCACTTTAAGTAATATGGGATTTTGCTATGTTTCTTTTGAAGAGATTTTTCGATTTTATTTTGTTTTGTGGACTCTTAGTTCTTTATAATAATTTGTATTTCGTATATAACTGAAAATAAAATAATATTCATTTTTCTTAATAAAGCAGACAAAGTCAAGAAGCTTTTTCTAAAAACCTTAGGTAAAACAACCAACTCATACAGCTGCAAATATTGTGGAAAAGGTTATTCAAAGAATAAACATAATTATTTTGTTCATGTTTATAAGTGCAGCAAAATACCAGAAGAATTAAAAACTGCTGCTGTGAAAGAAAAAACAGAAAGAAAAAAAAACACAAATAAAAACTGATAAAGGTACAGTCAAGTAGTCTAAAATAATTCTATTTTTTCACTTGTTGCGCTTTCGACAATGGAGGCTTTTTAAACATTGGGAATATTAATTGAAATAAAAAAAAAAAAAAAGATTGCTTCCCCATGCCAAATCTTCAGTCGATGTAGGGGCATTTCCTTGAAGCAGAAGGCTATAAGACAGTCGTTGTAGCAACACTCACTTGTAGCAGCAGGCTAAAAGATAGTCAATGTAGCAGCACTCCCTTGTTGCAGCATGCTATAAGAAATTTGATGTATATACAGTTTCGGACAAAACAAGTGCAACCAAATAATGTTAATTGAGTTTCTTTATAAAAAAGTGATGCATTTTTTCAATTTAGAGAAATAACTATGAAACTGTTTAGAGACAACGTTGTTCAAGTTTTATTCATTACAAAGTTTATTATTTATACACGAAAATAAATAAATTAATCAAAAGTAAAAAAAGTTGATTTCCTTCTGGACAAAACAAGTGCGACTCCACAAAATTTTGACCGAGCTGAATCCTTTGTTGTCGATCACAGCCTTGCATCTTCGAGGCATAGATTCGATCAGGTGATCAATAAAACTTTGTGGAATTGCTGCCCAGGCCTTTTGGATTTGTTTAAACAGTTGATCCTTATAACAAAAACCTTCACGATTAATTCTCCGGTTGACGATCTCCCACAGGTTCTCGATAGGGTTGAGCTCCGGAGATTGAGGCGGCCAATCCATCACCGATAAGTGGTTGTCTTGAAACCACTGCTTGACTACTTTTGCAGTGTGTTTCGGATTGTTGTCTTGCTGAAAAACCCATTTTATTGGCATTTTCCATTCAGCATGAGGTAGCATAACATCTTTCAGGATATTTTTATACATTAAACGGTCCATTATTCCATCAATTCGATGTATTGGACCTAGACCATATAATTTCTTCATATTCCAGTCAATATGAGATGTAGCAAACAGGAGTCTTTTCTTCTGGTTCTTTAGTGAAATCAGCGGTTTCTTTGCAGGGCGTCGAGAAAACAATCCGGCTTCAACAGCACGTCGTCTGATTGTTCAGTCCGATACAGGCATCTCTAATTACTTTTGTATCTTGATTAATGATATCCAGGGATCCTTCTTTACGGATCTGATGATTATAGAATCCTCTTTAAAAGTGGTAGAACGCAGTCTTCCACTTTTGTTATCTGCTTCCAACTTCCCCGTAGAAGGATATTTGGAACATAGTCTTGATACGGTCCATTTTTTCACGCGATATTTATCACAAATACTTTTTTGTGACATTCCACTTACGTAATCGCCAATAATTTTTTTTTCTTAGTTCCAATCCAAGACTGTCGGGAGCCATTTTCGCACTTTCGCACTAGATACTTCTGGATGCTTCCACATGCTTCTTCTGTAAACTTCTGGATGCTTCTGAAAACTTCTGGAAACTTTTGGATACTTCCTTCAATTATTAAAAAATTTCCGTGACGTTGACACAGACCAGACTTAAGAAAATGAAACAAACTAAAAAAGTTGCGCTGCAAAATGGCACTTATCAACGAAATTCTGCCTGTGTGCTGTCACCAGGTCATGTCATGGCAGGCTATGACTCAAGACTTCTGAACTGTTTGCTGTGGTAGTATAGTTTGTTTTGTTTTAAAGACATGTAAAATTAGAAACACTTTTTAGCATTGTTCAATGTTGGTTGCAAATGTTTTGTTCAATACTGTACCAGGCTTGTAATACTGAGCCGGAGACATGGAGCCGGAGCTCCACCAAAAGGTTAAAAGTTAGGTTCAAAGTTATAAACTAAGGCAAGCTGCATATTGCATACTTGTTATTGCATTTGGCCAAAGAGTTGTTGATTCAATAACTAAAATAAGAAAAACAAGTATTTTTTTAAAGGAATGAAATGTTAAATTAAAAAACATGTTTTTTACTTACCACTAGGTGGAATGCAAGAAGCGAACTTAAATGAAGTTCGACTTTAACTTTGAAGTCTGACTTTGTCAAGTTAGACTCCAAAAAACAAAGTGAGCAAATGCGTCAACGAAGCTTGAAAATTTCAAGATCGCGCTTCAGAAAGTCAAACTTAAAAAACTTAAACAGCGTTGATCTGAAGGCACAATCGGAAAAAAAAAATTGCAACCAATAGCGACTGAGTATTTGAAATAGGAAAACCTTTTAAATAAAGCAAATTAACTATATATTTTTAAATAATATTTTTATAAAATAATAAATTTATTTTTTGTATTTTTTTTAAAACTTGGTAATTTATTAAAAAACACTCGAATAAAAGGAACATTGTCGTGTTACCTTCTATTTAGTCCAAGGCTCTAACTACGACGTAACAGCTGATTAACATTCAAATTACATATATGCTATGCGGTTATCAGCAAAGTATATTTGTCGTACGCAAGGTTTTTATTTTTCAATTTTCTTGTTGAAATTTTTATTAAAAAAGAAATTAAACACTTACGAGGCTGCAAGCAAACACTAATTACGTTTGGAGTTAACAGAAAATTAATTAAAAAATATGACAACAATTTTCAATACCCGCAATTTTCAATGTTGCTGTTGTTTTTTTTGTTGTATAGATGCCCCAAGAAGACCTCACGGTTTTGTCACAGAGCACCGTGGAAGTGCATTTAACCAGGAAGTTCACGCCTCCTTCCTTCACTAGTGAAGGAAGGAGGCGTGAAGACAATAGCTTGGTCACTAGTGGCGCCTCACGCCTCCTTCCTTCACTAGTGAAGGAAGGAGGCGTGAGGCGCCACTAGTGACCAAGCCTTGAGACATGGCCACTAGTGGCGTGCCTCAAGTTTGGTCTTGGGCCCATTGACATTTTTCAATTTTTGCTTTAAAAAGAAGTTATCAAATAATTAACCTTTTTCTATATTTTCTAAATGGCCTAGGCCTGGTGTAAATGTCCTATTTTAAAAACATTCCAATGTAGTATAAAACTTTGAAAGATTCCCAAAAAAAACAAGCAAATTAGATAGGAATTTTTATGTTTTCATGCAACTTTTTTGTTTTATTCTATACTTTTGTAATTAATACCACAATATTTTGGAGCCATGCAGTTATTAAGGTTAATATTAAAAATAGTTTTATTAAAAAGCTCTCTATTAATGAGAAATATACTATGCTTTTTAAAACGTCGTAAGTGCTTTGTACATCTGTATTTTCAATGTTATTTGGGATGATAATAGTGATATTTTTTGGTATTATCTTTAAATGATGATTTGCATTCAAATTTCAATTTCATTAGTACAAAATAAACACGTTAAAACTAAACAGCAATTTTCTAAAAGTGTTATTTCAACTTTAAAACAATTAATGATATTTTTTTTAATAGTTTAGCTGTGGACCTGCTGATATAGTAATTA